TAGGATCAATATTGGCAGAGTTATTACACAAAAACCATTAACAGTCAGGCGATATGTCTGATTGAGTGCAGATCATTAATTAAATTGTTTTGTGTAACAATCATTCGTAGAAGTTAGGGAATATATTAACGTCAAATTGTCATATATTAACTGCGAATTCTTTCTAAATAAACTTCGTTTTCCAAGTTTCAAACTATACATTTCTAAAGAAATTTCTTACTTTTTTCTGCTTCTGGTCTTATTTTAATTAGTTAAATATGGTCTTAATTTTCGTACTTATGGCAAGGATTCTCCAAACGGAAGAAATATTACAATTTTGTAAGTACCCAGATTTGCGAGTCCAGTTGAGTCGCATACACTATCACTAATATTAGTTTTGATATATAACAGATAATAGAGCTTTAAAGTGACATTGTAATTTTAAATAATATAGTATGTAGTTAACTAGTAAACAAATATAAGGTTTTTTTTATTTAAAATGTTTTTTTTTATTTTATAATTTCAAATATTGTTATTAACCGTTTTCCTTGCCATTATTTAGCTTTTTTATGTCGATTTTTATAATACTGAGTTAATCGAGCTGCGTCCCAAATATCTGAAGATGAAGATATACCTTCAAGTGCAGCAAGATATCGTTGTACTTCTTCTTTAGTAGGTGGTAAAGAATGGGCCACCATCGGGGCAAGTATTTCAACAGCTTCTTTTGATGGAATTCGACGTACTCGCTTCTTAGGTGGTTCATCAGATGATCCAGGTTGGTTATCTAAAATATTTGTGTTTTTTCTTTTTCTGGGAGGTTTTTCAATATCTTTACATTTGGTAACTAATACTTCTTTTACCCTTCGTCCTGTAGTATCAATTTTTTCTTTTTTTAACACTTCTTGTGCATATATGAGATGTATACGGTGAAGTCCCCGCTTATAGCATTCCTTTAATCGTCTTATTCCATCAGCATGAATCTCTTTTGGATATGAAGTATGGAAAAGATCATGTGTTTGATTATAATGATTGAAATCTTTGGTATCAAAAGCTATCAACAATTTCTCCACCAAACTCCACATTTCATCTTTTCTTAAATTTGTTGATCGTTCATGATTAGTAGAGGTATTGTTATGCAAATATTCATTCAAAAATAATTCTATTCGTTCATACTCTGACTGAGATGCTTTCACTTGTCGCTTAAGGTTTTCCTGATCTATAACATTACCTGTAACATTCTGCTTAATAAATTTTACTCCGAATGTTTCTAGAGCTTCGTCAAATGCCATAAAATGTCCAAATCTATCTTCTGATACTTTAAAAGACCCTGCAACTTGCAATTTTTCCTCTAATTTGGGGTATTGTTCAAGAATTCCAAAGAAATGTGAAACCGATTGAGCATAATTAGATTTTCCAGCTGAAGGAAGCAGGGGACTAAAAGCAGCTAAAGTATTCTTTTGAATATTAAAATTTCCTATTCGAATACCAATTCTATGTGCAATAAATAAACCCGCCCAATTATAAAATAAATACCAGATTTTAAGTATTTGGTATTCTTCATATTTGTCATCCATAATATCATATTTATGCATATTTTTTGACTTTAAATGTATTCGTAAAGCTATACCAACTGAAACCCAAATTAATTCTATAATCCGGACTGTAGCCCGATAGTCAACAACCTTCTCCAATTTGTCTATATATTTGACTCCAACTGCAGCAGCTAAATCAAAAATTCCGTAGCTTGAGAATATACTAATAAGAGCTGATGCCATATCTTTGTTAGTATGCCATGAACCAAGAATAGGTCGAAGGTTTGGCCACTCTTTTCGTAAATTTATTAACCGCCGAAATATAGATTCATCAGCAACGATATCCAAATATTCATCAGAACTTAACGAAAAATCATTTTTATACATTTTTGCTGCATTAAAGATTCCCTCATTTGTATTTGGAATACCACCCGCTTCCAAAATTACTACATGCTGTGGGTCTCCAAAACATCCTCGATCCATTCTTTCAATAAGTTTTTTATGTACTGTAGAAATATCAAAATTTGTCTCAAATTGTAAGTTTTCATGATCATTATTAGAATAATAAAATCCTAAACATTCATCTAATATTTCATCATAAAGATCTAATATTTTCTGTGCAGTGACATTTATTCCAAAAATTCGATGAGATACCAATGCTTTTTCATCGTGTTTAGTTTCAATAATAGGAGTTTGTAAAGGTGTTTGAAATACCATTCGAAGAGTTGCATGTGATGTGCCACGTGTAATGTCAAATATATTGCCATAGGAAAAAGTTTTTTCCTTAAAGTCTATATTGTCTATTACGGCTAGATTCCAAAAGTAAGAATTTTTTTTTAAACGCTTTGTTGGATCTACTTTATTCATTCTCTCTTTTTCTAATCTTCGTTCATGTTCCTTACAGTGAGATAAAACTTTTAAGACAGCAAGAAGATTTGTTAAATCACCCGCCATTTTTGGTTTTCGTGTAAGGCTGGCAATTATTGTAGAAAACCAGATTTGAAGTGAAGGAAAGGTAATGCTAATCAAAATGGATAAGAATAATGAAACAATTTTGGTAATTTGAACTGGATCATTAGCTTTTATTGATATATTTCTTGCTTTTCGTCTTTGATTTACAATAGCCATTTTTTTTTCATAGATACCAGTTAAAAATGCATAAAAAAAATTTACCAACCATGAAGGAAAACTGGATACGTATTCACCTATGGATTGTGGATTCTGTAATTGATTCTTATTTAAAGTTAATTCAATTCGAGATTTCCATATTTTTAATGCAAATTGTTTTCCTAAATCTTGACAAAACTGATCTTTCAAATCCTCTTGTGTTATAACTTCAATATTAATTTGTTTTAGTTGCATGCCAACTTGCAACATAAATAAACTTGGAACATCAGGAATTTCTTCTGAAACTGATTCTGATATGGTAGGTTCAGAAGTGTGTTTTGTTGGACGAATTTCTTGAAGAATTTGAAAAATTGAAGGTGCAATGGCTGCTAGAGTTTTATTTTTAAATTTATCTTCACCAAACTTTGCTATTCTAATAAACCATCTTCCGATAATTTCAAGTTGTGTAGATGTATCTGCTACATGATGCTCTTCACATCCGACCTTCTTTTTTTTACCTTTACCTGGCTTGGTGTATAAATGACCACCCTTATCAACAAAACAATTACCACATGAGAATCGAGGCCGGGAAAAGTTCTTTAATGAAGATTTACAAAAATTACCACTTTCTTTCAACGCGTAACAATCTATCTGCCCAATGCAAGGCGTAAGAATGACTCTATCCAATATAACCCATGAATGTTGTGTACAACCAATTCCCCTTGTAAAGTAATGATGGTTCTGATGACAGAATAAACATTGGCGTTGTTGTATACGACTTTCCTCAGTGCTTTTTGTCATTGATTTTATTTTTTTTTTATGAATTCTTTGATCAAAATTGAAGTGAGACATACACACACCTAATTTTGAAAGATCATTTTTAACTGCTGTAACTATTTCGCTATCAATCTGCCAGATGCCAATTAATTCCCGCAACCTTTTCTTACAATTAACTTGTCCACATGTTCGATATGTTCCATCTATATAGTCAATTAAAATACAAGACGTTAATTTACTATCAGTATCTTGGCCAATGACTTGATAAAAATCTTCGTCTGGTTCTGAAATTTCAGACAATTCAGATTCTGTATCATCAGGTTCAATGTCACTTTCATCTGTTTCATTAATTAAAGAATTTAATGCACGAAAATACCCTTCTTCATCAAAATCTATTACGAAGTCATCCTCATATTGGTTATTTTCATATTCTTCATTATCATAACTTTCCTTAAACCCGCTGTCTGTATCAGAAAACACACTTATTTGATCATTTAAGTCATAAAAATCAAACATTTCCATTGTACTACTGTGCTGATTTCGCAATGAAATATACTCTTTATTATTGAAGATTCTCCATAAAGAACAAGCAGTTTAAAATAAAAATGATAAAAAATAATTCACGTTACTCAATTTATCTATTCGTATAATTCAATTTGTGCTACAATTATGCAAATGTACTGAAACGTCATAATAAATGCAAAATTTACTATGAAAAAAAAAATTTTTTTATTATGCAGATCACTATAAAATGCAAACCCCCTGCTGATCATCAGACATATCGCCTGACTGTTAATATTTTTTTAATTTCGGAAATTAATCTAGTAATTGGATTTCGATGTATTTTATAC